TCTGATGACTCACTCCCCAAGTGAGCGCAATGGCCGGTGCTGTGCCGATCCAAAGCCAGGAGCTCACAACTTCTTCCGGGTCTCCCACACAGGTGCAGGGTCCCAAGGCTTTGGGCTGTCCTTTTCTGCTTTCCCAGGCCTCAAGCAGGGAGCTGGATGGGAAGTGGAGCTGGCAGGATTAGAACCGGCACCCATATGGGATCCTGGGCATGTTCAAGGCGAGGACCTTAGCCACTAGGCCACACCAGGCCCCAGGCTTCTTTTCTTTTGGAGTCAGGGAAACAGCCCCGAGGGCTGAGGTAATGTCCTTGAAGTCACAGCCCTGAGAGGAGGCTGGGCCCCCCCCCCCACCTGGACCCTCTCTCATTGTGTGCTTTTCCCTCATCCATTTTGCAGATAGGAAAAGCAAGCAAGGCAGGTGAGCCAAGGGGACCCTGGAGCCCTTTGGGTCCCATCAGAATCCACAGTGACTGTCACCCCATTCCCAGAAGGGAGCAGCCTGTGCAGTGGGCCCGGAACCTGACATTACACGTCTTGCCTGTCGTAATTAGCAATGTTCTCTGGCTAGAGCCAGAGAATGTCATTATGTGAGCTGGTGGCGCAGCTGAAATCTGATTAGAGGACCTGCTATGCAGGCTGCAGCAGGTGCCCAAGCTGGCAGCCCCGGGAAGGAATGAACTCCCACCTCACTGATGGGGTGCTCGGGACCAGCCCCATCCCTAGGCAAGGGTGAGAGGCAGCAGCCACCTGAGAAAGCTTTGGCCCCCTGGTATGGCCAGGACAGAGTCAGCACCCTGAGACTGTAGCCATTGGTCTCCACGTGCTCCCCCTCACCCCCGAGGGTCTGGGAGGGCCCAGAAAACAGCTGAGACGAGCAGAGCACCTGCGTCCCGAGGCCCCAGACTTGTAGGGTGCTCCTGGGCAGGTTTGGTGCAGCCTGCTCTGATGGCAGCTGTGCTGAGGCAGGTCCGGGTGGACAGATTGGCGGCCAGCGATGCTGCTGGCTCCTGGCCCAGCATATGTCCTGTGGTGCTTGATGTACCTGGCGGATGGCAGGTGAGGAGGGGAGGCGGGGAGGCGGGGAGGCGGGGAGGCGGGGAGGTGGTGAGTGCAGGGCCTGTTGCTCCGCTGCTCTAAGCACAGGCATTGACCTCTGTGGGGTCCCTTTGACCCCACTGCAGCCCTGGGCTGGGCATCACGGAGCTTCCGGGATGGAGTGCCCCCATGACATTGTCACCTTGCTTCTCGTTTCTCCAGACCTCCTGCCCCCCGAGGTGTGTAGCCTCCTGAACCCTGCAGCCATCTATGCCAACAATGAGATCAGCCTGCGTGATGTGGAAGTGTATGGCTTTGACTACGACTACACACTGGCCCAGTACGCAGATGCGCTGCACCCGGAGATCTTCGGCGCCGCCCGTGACATCTTGATTGAACACTACAAGGTGAGGCTGGCCACGGTGGCTGACCAGGGACCTGGCATGGCTTCCGTCCAGGGTTAATCTGCTCCTGTGTCAATCCCCTGGGGCTGCCAGTGCCCCCCGTGGCTTAGGTCTGCCCCCCCTTTTCTTCCACTAGTACCCGGAAGGGATTCGGAAATATGACTATGACCCCAGCTTTGCCATCCGTGGCCTCCACTATGACATCCAGAAGGTGAGTGGCTGGTCACTGGTTCCCCAGCACCTCCCCTAGGAATATAGTTCCCTTTGTGGTCCTTCCAGTGGAGGCTTTGGTTTGGGCCTGAAGTAGCCTGTCCCCAGGCTGGTAGCTGAACAGTCCCTTAATCCCCCTACCTTCCAGAGTCTCCTGATGAAAATTGATGCCTTTCACTATGTGCAGCTGGGCACAGCCTATAGGTCAGTGCCGCCTCTGCCCTGACCCCTGACCCGCCCCCGGGCTCAGGCCCCCCAGGTCTGATGCTGTCCATACCCCACTCAGGGGTCTCCAGCCGGTGCCAGATGAGGAGGTGATCGACCTCTATGGGGGCACCCAGCACATCCCACTGTATCAGATGAGTGGCTTCTACGGCAAGGTAGGCCTGCCGCTCAACTTGACACCCTGGGGCCTCCAGTGATAAGGTCTGGGGCTGAACCTGTGACTCCCTCTTCAGGGTCCTTCCATTAAGCAGTTCATGGACATCTTCTCATTGCCGGAGATGGCCCTGCTGTCGTGTGTGGTGGACTACTTCCTGGGCCATGGCCTGGAGTTCGACCAGGCACACCTCTACAAGGACGTGACGGTGAGGGTGCCAGACCTGCCCCGGCCTGTGCGGGGAGGTGAGGTCCCGCCGCATCCTCACTGCTGCCCACTGCCCGCCCCCAGGATGCCATCCGCGACGTGCATGTGAAGGGCCTCATGTACCAGTGGATTGAGCGGGACATGGGTAAGGTGGGCAGTGGTCTTCCTGTGGCTGGTGTGGGCAAGGTGACGGGGCCTGGCCCTCACGACCCGTGTCCTGCCCCATTAGAGAAGTATATCCTAAGAGGGGATGAGACCTTTGCTGTCCTCAGCCGCCTGGTGGCCCATGGGAAGCAGCTGTTCCTCATCACCAACAGTCCCTTCAGCTTTGTGTGAGTCCAGTGGGGGGCACCCGGGGACGGCAGTGGGGGCAACTCGGGCACCCTCCCACCTGCTGCACGGCCACCTGTACACAGGGACAAGGGGATGCGGCACATGGTGGGCCCCGACTGGCGCCAGCTCTTCGATGTGGTCATCGTCCAGGCAGATAAACCCAGCTTTTTCACTGACCGGCGCAAGTATGGGCCTGGCGGGGTGGGGCTGGGGCTGCACCCTAAAAAGAGCACTAAGGCACGATGCTGACTGGCACACTGCCCAGGGTGCCTGGGGCGAGGCTCTGAGGAGCAGGGAGCTGGCCCGCAGCCCTGCCCCGCCTTCACCACCACCTTGCCCTGCCCTGCCCCACCCGCCAGGCCTTTCAGAAAGCTTGATGAGAAGGGCTCGCTGCAGTGGGACCGCATCACCCGGCTGGAGAAAGGCAAGATCTACCGGCAGGTAAGAAGGCCCTGCCTGAGGAAGCAGCCCGGCTTCTCGGCCTGGGAGCCAGCAGGCATGGCTGGTGGGGGTGCCCACTGTCTAGGTGTGAACTCCAGTTCCACCTACCTGTGGCAGGGCAGCCTGGCCTAATCCCCCCCTGTCCCCAACTTGCCCCCTCTTCAAAGGAGACGTGATACCCCAGGCCCATGGGACTAGGGTGCAGAGCCCCTTGGCACATCAGCTGGTCTGGTAACAGTTGGGGCTGCTCTGCTGCTCCCTCCACACGTCTGCCTGAGGGCTCCCCGGTGGATCAGAAGGGCTCTGGGGCTGGGCTAGGGATTGGGTACCCGTGAGCAGGAGGTGATTAAGGCACTTAGCCCTGGCTAGAATGTGGAAATCCCAGCTGAGCTGGGCTGCTTAGGGTTTCAGAGGCCTTGGCACTGGGGGTCGGGGAAGGGGCAGGTATGGGGGGAGCTAGCAGGCCCAGCTCCACCCCTGGTCCCCCACAGCATTGGCTGAGGCTAGGGAGGTTCATATGCCTGTTGCTTAGCACTTTGCTCCTGCTTGGTCCTTGGGAGCCCCATTGCACGTCTCCACCTCTGCTTCCTGCCCCCCTTGTAGGCCTCTCCCTGGATCCAGGGGATGCAGCCACATCCTCAGCCTGTAGGCTTGCGCTTAGCTCAGCCCTCAGTTCTTCCTCAGTCTCCCTCCCACACACAAGACCCCTGCTGCTGTGCTGCATGCTCCACCCTGCAGGGTGCCAGCTCGCTGCGGCCTTTGCACTCTGGCTGCCTATTAGCCCCAGGAATAGGAGGGCGTCCCAGCGAACTCTTGCCCTGGGCCTGCTGGGTCCCTGGAGGCCGGGCTGCAGAGGCCAGCTCTGGCCTGCCCTGTGGTTTGTTTCTCACAAACAGGGGGTGGATCCCTAGTCAAGGAGCTGGGAAGGCCCTGAGACATGGGGCGCCACAGGGCTTCCCGAACCGCTCCCTGTGGTCGGCAGAGCCCCCCTTCCCAGGAGGGAGGGGACAGCAAGGCCACGGGAAAGGGCAGCCGGCATCCGGCTGGACCTGGCCGCCTCTGGGGTTGGGAAGGACAGAGCTGCCCAATATCTCCTCGCTGCTGCTTTCCCTCAGGGGAACTTGTTTGACTTCCTGCGCCTGACGGAATGGCGTGGCCCCCGTGTGCTCTACTTTGGAGACCACCTCTACAGCGACCTGGCGGTAAGGGGACTAGAAGAGGGGCAGGGCGTTGAGATGGGGTGGGGACTGCTACCCACCAGCACTGAGCCCAGGCCCACCCTGCTGCTCCCCCGGCCAGGATCTCATGCTGCGGCACGGTTGGCGCACGGGTGCCATCATCCCTGAGCTGGAACGTGAAATCCGCATCATCAACACGGAGCAGTACATGCACTCCCTGACCTGGCAGCAGGCACTCACGGGGCTGTTGGAGCGCATGCAGGTACCGAGGGGGTCCAGCTGCTGGTGGGAGGGACTGGGGCTGCATCCTCCTTTGCGCATCCCCCCAACATGCCTGGTCTCCCCCAGACCTATCAGGATGCAGAGTCCCTGCAGGTGCTGGCTAGCTGGATGAAGGAGCGGCAGGAGCTGAGGTGAGCAGGACAGGACTGGGGCAGGAGACCCCCCCCCCCAGCCATGCCTGCCTCCTTCACGTGCCCCCCCCCATGTCCCTGTGCCCAGGTGTGTCACCAAGGCCCTGTTCAATGCCCAGTTTGGGAGCATCTTCCGCACCTTCCATAACCCCACCTACTTCTCCAGGCGCCTTGTGCGCTTCTCCGACCTCTACATGGCCTCACTCAGCTGCCTGCTCAACTACCGCGTGGACTTCACCTTCTACCCACGCCGCACGCCTCTGCAGCACGAGGCCCCGCTCTGGATGGACCAGCTCTGCACCGGCTGCATGAAGACGCCCTTCCTCGGTGACATGGCCCACATCCGCTGAGGCCCCCTTTATTGTCTGGGGAAGGCCCCCTGCCCACCCCCAATCCCTGCCTCTGGCATCCGTCCTGACAAGCAATAAATGTCTCCTTCTGGCGCCTTCTGCATGTTCACCTCAGCCCGACCAAGTCACTGCACTGCCAGGATCCTCTGGGTGTCAGGGAAGTCGTCATCCAGGAGCGAGTCCTGGGGAGAGCAAAGTCCTCTAGGATCTGGCCAGTGGGGCCCGTGGCCATGGCCCACCCACTCCTGTCCTCACTACTCACCAGGGGCTCACTGAAGGCGTCATGGCTGCCGAAGACTGGGTTGGGGACGGAGACGAGGGTCGGGCTGGCCCCCTCTTGCCACGGGGAGAAGTCGTCATCAGCATTGTCTTCCGCCTGGCAGCAGCAGAAGGGTAAAGGCTTCGTCGGGGGGTGGTTCAAGGACCCTGCCTACCCTCTGCCCCACTGCTCCGTCACACTTTACCTGGAAGGTGGAGAAGCCGAAGCCCGTGGACTTGCTCCGGGCACGGACATAGAGGGCTCCGGCCACCAGGCCGAGCAGCGTTCCAGCGGCTACCACGGCCCCTACAGCCCCCACACCTGCTGCCTCAGGTGCCAGCACAGGCTCCTGCAAGTAAGGAGAAGGTCAGGGACCCGATGGGAGCTGCCCCCTCACTACTCCCCCAACTTTCTCCAACTCACGGGCTGGGGGGGTGCCAGGAGTGGGCTGGCCAGAGTGTGGATGATGCCGTTGACAGCTATGATGTCCCACATGATCACATGGCTAACCACAACTGCGCCCGGGGCCTGCAGGAGACCAGGTGGGCAAGTAGGTGAGAGAGCAAGGGCCCCAGCCTGCAGGGGAGGGGCGGTGATCGCACTCACCATGGGAACCCCAGAAGTGTTGTCCGGGCCCAGGCCACCTACAAGGAGGCTGAGGCCCAAGTATGTGGGGAGCAAGGTGCTGTGGCTGGCATTGGTGCTCAGGAGTGTGGCGTTGGAAGCGTGCAGTTCCAGATCTGCACCGCTCAGCGTCTGTGGACAGACACAGCCGCCTGTGGCCCCTGGCCAGTCGCCCAAGCCTCAGGAGCCCTGTCCCGCCCAGATCCCTGAAAGTTACCATGTTGCCCAGAAAGCCTTCATTGAGGGGCACAAAGAGCGTCTTATAGGTGAGCTCATCATTCAGGAAGTTCAGGAAGTCAAAACCCCGCTGGGAGGCATTAGCATAGCTCAGCAGCATCTGTGGGGTGGGACACACGGGGTTTGGGGCAGGCCCCCTCACAAGGAACACCCCCAGCCACCTCAGACCCACCCCCACCCTCGAGGCTGGGCCTCCCACACCTCATAGAAGGTAGAGAAGGTAGCAGTGGCAGCCAGGACGTCCATCAGCTTCCCGTTGCACGTGTCAATCCCGTCACCCACGAGGCCAGCTCGGCACTGGCAGCTCACATCTGTGGGAGAGGCGGCTCAGGACGTGGACGGCCAAGGGAGAGCTAGGAAGCAGGGTTGGGGGCAGTGGAGTGGCGCACCTTGCACACGGTAGCAGTAGGCATCCCAGCGCTCTGAGAGGTTCATCCGGGGACCCAGGCTAACCACGCCCACCTGGCCATTACCACAGTCAGCCGCAGGGAAGACAACAGGGTGGGCAGCAGAGCCGTTGGCCAGCCAACCCGTAAGACACAGGTGAAAGCCCAGCTGTAGGGACAGGAGGGGATGCTTAGAACCAGGGCCAACTCTGGGGGCCGTCACCCTCTCCAATGCCTGGACCCTCACGCACCTGCTGGGCAGCCGAGAGCTGAGGAAGCGAAGCAAGGACAGCCCCCTGGGCCCCACAGGCTGCCTCGGCCTCCGAGAAGGTGAGGCTGTGTGGGCCACTGCTGGCCTGGAGGTGGAAAACGCCAGCCCGCTTCTCTGTGCGAGAGTAGAACATGCAGTCAGCTGCCTGTGCGGACACACAAAGTGGGGTGTGGGAGCAGGCAGCGGAGCGTACCCTGGTAGTGCAGGTCTGTGCACACGGCATCCACGTGGCAGGGTGGTGGCTGGTCCAGGCAGCGGTCCACCGGCGGCTCAGACTCCTGCAGACACTGTTTCCCGTCGCCCACGAAGCCTGCGTGGCACTCACAGTGCCATGTGTCCTGGGGCAAAGAGACCCAGGTGTGCCCTTGACAGATTGCCACTCCTCCCAGGGCCCTGTCCTGAATGCTGGGCTCTCCCCACTCACTGGGCCCGTGTGGAGACAGTCGGCGTGCTCACTGCAGCCCCCGCGGTCGCTGCCTGCACAGGGGTTGTGGGCCCAGCAGTCATAGCCATCACTGTCATAGCCAGGCGGGCAGACACAGGTGAACGCTACCCCCTCCATCCTGCAGCTGGCATGCTTGCCGCAGTCGATCCCTTCCCGGCACTGCGCTGGGGGCCGAGAAGGAGTTCGTGGACCAGGTAGCTAGAGAGGAGTGGAGTAGGGGGGCAGGGCTCCCACCTCCTTACCTGAACACACACTGCCGTTCCCTACGAAGCCCACGCTGCACTCACAGCTGTTGCCTTCACGGCACACGGCGTGGGGTGCACAAGGTGGGGTGCACACAGGCTCCACCTCTATTTCACATAACCACATTAGTAGCTGGCCTCAGCCCCACCCTCACCCCAAATGTGAGCTCAACCATGGGCCCAGGTGCAAGTGTATGTAGCGGGGACACAAGCTGAAGGCCACTCACTCAGCTGCGCCTCACAGCGTGACCCCGTCCAGCCTTCGTCACAGAAGCAGGAGCCAGAGCCCCCAGGGCCCTCGTCACAGTGACCGTGAGAGGTGCAGCGGCAGGCTGCGTGAGGGTGAGGCAGGGGATAAAGGTTAGCTCATGGAGCTAGGGAAATTGGGAAGGGAAGGAGAGGTGACAAGGCTGGGACAACCCACCTTGGCACTGGGGTCCAAAGAAACCGGGGGTACAGAACTCGCAGGCAATCCCAGCAAAACCTGACTGGCATACACACCGACCAGTGCCACTCATGCCGTCCAGGCATATGCCGTGATTGCTACAGGGGCTGCCAGGGCCACCAGGGCAAGCTAGGAAATAGGTGGGGTAGAGCCAGGGGTCTCATCACAACCCCCACACCTGCATCCCCAGACCTCCCCTTCCAGGAACAATGGGATGCAAACCTTGGCAGTCACTGCCGTAGTGACCAGGGCAACAGCTGGGCACCCAGGTCGTGGTGACACAGTTACGGTGGCAACCCCTGGCCAGGCTGTGCTGTGGCGGGCTCCAGAAGCTGGATCGCATCCAGGTGCTGTGTGGCCCCCAGGAGTGCAGTGCAGGAGGGGGCCAGAACTTGGGGAAGTAGCGCCAGCAGTTCTCGGGTTTGCCCTGGGCCAGGAGTCAGAGCAGAGCAGACGGCCTGAGCTCGGCAGTACCTGGCCCAATGCCAGCCCCCACTCCACCCCAGTCCCCGTACCTGTTCCCGAAAACCTGCAGGACAGGGAGGCTCCATCCCACAGATACTGCAACCCTGGAAGAAAAGAGGCCAGCACAAAGCCGGTCAGGCGGGTGAATAGGCCAAGAGGTCTCAGGCCTCCACCCAGCTGCTCCCTGCCACACTCACTGTTCTCAGGGGCCGGGTCTCAAAGCGGTCACAGCGGGCACCGAGGCCTGGTGGTTCCAGCAGCTGGTCAATCCCATAGGCCAGGCCCCCCTCAAAGGGTAGGTGCCTCTGCACGATGCGGCCCTCATCATTTCCCACCATGAGCTCCCCCTGCAAGGGAAGGTGCGAGGTACACAGGGTCCCAAAGTCACAGCCTCACTCCCTGACTCATCCAAGCCATTTCCCTCCCTAGACTCACAGGTCGGGCCTGGCTACACGAGAAGGAGATGAGGTTTCCGTGCAGTGTTCGAAGAGGGCCCAGGTTAGGCAGGTCAGATGCTGTGGCCTGCAGACAAAGCCTCGGTTGGAATGGCAAAGGCATCCCAAGCCACAAGCAGTGGGGAGACCCAGGAGGGGTTGCACTCACCTCCATGTTGCGGATCACGTGACCCCGTAAAATGGCTGCCAGCTTGTCTTTGTGGTCCTCATGGTACAGCCAGGCCTGACGATCAGGGGTCAGGGCTTTGAGGGCAGCATCTGTGGGCCACAGCATGGTGAGGGGCCTGTGGGACACAGCTCGAAGCAGAGGCAGGACGCCAGACACCTGGTGGGACAGGTAGAGGAGTCAGGCTGGGAGCAGGAGCACAGACACTGAGGGGCTCAGGAAGCCCAGGGTATTGCCACCGGCCACGCATGCACAACCAGTGTCCCCTTCTCCCCCAGGTACCACTGCATCTTATGTACTAGGTTTTCCTCAATACATCCCCACAATAAAGGTGTGTATAAATTAGGCACAATCAGATGTGAACAGTAACTCATAGAATAAGCATAATATGTGCTACAGTGAAAGCTGTTTAAAATTTAGGAACTAAGGTCTGGCACGGTGGCCTAGCAGCTAAAGTTACCGCCCTGCATGTGCCGGGATCCCATATGGGCACTGGTTCTAATTCCAGCAGCCCCACTTCCCATCCAGCTCCCTGCTTGTGGCCTGGGAAAGCAGTCAAGAATGGCTCAAAGCCTTGGGACCCTGCATCTGTGCAGGAGACCCGGAAGGAGCTCCTGGCTTTGAATCAGCTCAGTCCTGGCTGTTGTGGCCACTTGGCGAGTGAATCAGCAGACGAAGGATCTTCCTCTCTTTCTCTCCTCCTCTCTGTATATCTGACTTTCCAATAAATAATAAATCTTAAAAAAAAAATCTTATCTGGAGCCAGCCCTGTGGCAGAGCTCCTGCTGTGCCAGCATCCCATATGGGTACTGGTTCAAGTCTTGACTGCTCCACTTCTGATCCAGTTCCCAGCTAATGGGTTGAGCCTACGAAGACATTGGGTCAGCTCAGGTGCTTGGACCCCTCCACGTTCAGGCAAGACTCAGAGAAAGCCCCTGGCTCCTGGACTGTTGGGGTCATCTGGAGAGTGAACCAGGAAGTGTAGGACCTTTCTGTTCCTAACTGCCTTTCAAATAAATAAAATGTTTCTGAAAATTAAAACCAGCTCATGAACTGCTCTTAGGGATTTTGCCTTTCAGATATGCACACATGTCAGAAGCACGCAGGCACTCCCGCGTGCTCACACGCCTGTGCAACACACACACAAGAGCAGTACCCTCAGTAGGCGGCTGAGGATCTTGTATCCGAAGCTCTCGGCGGCTTCTGAGATGTTTCTCTGGAAAAAAGCATTCCTGAGTGAAGCCTGACAGGACAGGAGCCCAGCTCCCAGGCCCGCACCCGGGCCATACCAGAGGGACCGGGGCAGTGTCTGGCTTCCAGTGGAGCACTTCCGGTGGCAGCAGGACATGATCAATGAAGTGCAGGACGCCGTTCACCGCCTGGTTGTCGCTGCTCACCACGCGTGCGAAGTCGTTCAGGTAAATGATGCCCTGGGGGATGGGACCCAGGAGCGTGGATGGGGCCCAAGCTTCCACAAAGCCAATTGGTGTAGGTGGGGGCATGGCTGGCTGGGGCACCAACAGTCCTGCGTTCAGATGGAAGTGGAAGGTAGGTGGGACCCGTGGAGCAATGGAGGCTTCAGGCAGCCTTGGAATCCGGGAGGGGCCCTTGGCCCTGGAGAGGGGCTGGATCACACTGGGACTGGGCTCATCTCTCTCCCTGTAGTGCCCCTGGCTGGGAGATGGGAGTCAGGCTCACCTCCCTCTCACTGAAGCGCAGGGTATGTCCTGAGAGGGCGGTGGCATAGCCCTCATTCAACAGATCCTGGCTCTGCAGCTGCCGACAGCCAACCACGTGATAGTGGAACACAAGCTGGCGATTTGCCCGAATCCGGTCTAGTTCATCCTGCAGTGAGGTCATGAGGTTCATGGGGGCAGGACTGCCAGCCTGTGCCCCTCAGCAGTGGCCACCCACTGCCCCTCCTCCCGCAGCCTTCCCACCGGGGCTGCAAACCTGTGACAGGTTGGCCATTAGATCCATGCGAGGCACGAAGATGGTGAAGGGTCCCTTGCCTTTGAGTTCCTTGTGTTCCTGGGACACGAGAGGAGCTACCTAGGACCAACTCCAGGCTTCCCTATTTCTCCTGACCAAGACTGGGCTTGGAGAAATGAGACCAGCCCGCTGCTGGAATAAAACATGGGAGGCCCAGGGAGGGGTGGGAGCTTGGACTGGTCATTTACCAGGAGGTGGAGGCCGAAGAATGAGGCCTGCTGGTCCCGAAGGAGCTCCTGTGGAAAGTGAGAATCAGCTCAGATGTTAAGTAGCTCCCAGCTGGGGCTCAGCGCCTGGCCCAACACCTGCAGCCCAAGGTCTGGCAAAGGCAGGGCTGAGCCAAGCCCAGGGTCAGGCAGGATGGGGCGGGTGGAGCTGGGACCTGGACCATTTTCCCAGGTCCTGTGAGGGCCAGGACTGGCATTAGGATCACATATCTAGGATCTGAGCCAAGGTCAGAGGTCCCGCCTAGGGGGCCAGGGCTAGGGGTCATTACCAGGCCGACATGGGTGCGGCAGGTGAAGCCATCCCCGACAGTGTGGAGCACATCACAGGTGCATGTTCTCTGGCCGGCTCCTGTGCTGTTGCATATGGCATACGGGCTGCAGCCTCCGTTGTTCTGTGGCAGGGGCAGGAAAGAAGGAGACATCAGGCAGCTTCTGGGGCACCACCCAGCTGGGGGGGAGACCAAGAAGTACCCTGCCTGACCTCCAAGGTCTGGAGTTCTCACCTGGGAGCAGGGGTCCAGAGGCACACAGGTCTGGATGCCATCCCCGCTGTAACCCTCGCGGCAGCTGCAGGAGACCTGTCCCAGTTGGGGTAAGCATGGCTGCTCGGGAGCCACAGGCAGGAGAGGGCTGCCCTGGGGGAGGCTCCAGCCCCACCACACTGACCTGCTTGGGACCGGTGGGGATACAATCGGCGTACACATGGCAGCCCCCATTGTGGATGAGACAGCTGTTAATCTCTGTGGAGAGAGCCCCAGAATGAAGGGTGACCCCTGGCAGCCCCTACCCACCCAGCCATGCACCTGTCTATGCTTTAGATGCTCAGCTATGCTGTCTATGTACCTTTAGCTGCTCAGTGCTCCCAGTTTCCACCTCTGGGCACCCCAGCCCTCACATTTCCAGGTTGCGGTCCCAGCCTTACCCTGACACAGCTCGCCATCGCCTGTGTAGCCATCCTGACAGGTGCATGTCCGCTGCCCAGGTGCCACCTTGGTGCAGTTGGCATGGGGGGAGCAGCCCCCGTGGCCATGGGCACAGGGGTCCACTTCTAGGGTTACAATGGTCCCAGGGCAGCAGGGTGGGGTAGGGAAAAGGGCATGAGAAGGTAAAGAAGAGAGGAGGGCGGGCCTGAGGTGGGGCAGTGAGAGAGGCCAGTCCTGGCAGGGATGGGGCTCTGTGGGGACAGCCCCCCATCTCAGGGAGGGTCCCGAGTGTCTGTGTAGCTGCACCTGCACAGAAGCTGCCATTGCCGGAGTATCCTGCAGCACAGACGCAGGTGGGGGTGCCAGCCGAGTCCTGCACACAGCTGGGGGAGGAGGGGCAGCTTAGCCTAGGCCTGTCCAGTCCCCTTCCACTGACCCCAATCTCTCCCCCATGTGCCCCCAGTTGGGATCACTCACTTGGCATTGGGGTCACACACCTTAGGGCACTGAGGGTTGATGATTTCTGCAGACAGGAGAAAGGGGCTAATCTCTCAGACCAGGAGCATCCCCTCCCCCAGCCCTTACAGTGGTCCCTCGGCCCCTTGGCCCCAGCACCCACTCACTCTGGTCACAGCGGCGGCCCTGCCAGCCCACGTTACAGACACAGCTGCCATCCCCTCGCAGCCCCTCCTGGCACAGCCCGTGGGCACAGTCGCACACTGGGAAGGGAACAAGTAGGAAGGAGTTCCCAGAGGCTGCAGCTGGCTCACCTCTGCCAGGCTCTCCGCCCTCCCAGCCTCACCTCCAGTGCAATTGGGCCCGTAGCGGCCCAGCTCACACATCTCACACGCTGTCCCGTGGAAGCCCTCCCGGCAGCGGCACTGGCCGTCACCCAGGAACCTGTCCTCGCACTGCCCGTGGTCTGAGCACACGCCACCCTGGCCCCTGGGGCATGGCTCGCACAAGATGCCAAAGAAGCCAGGACAGCAGTCAGGCACCTATATGTGTGGTGAGGAGAGGGGCGAGGGGTTGGGCAGAGGCCAGGACAGAAGTTGGGGGAAGGGGAAGGGAATCATCTCAGGGCCATAAAGACGTGGAGCCAAGCAACTTGCACCCACAGCCGGGGGACTGGAAGGAGAGCTGGAGGGAGAGTAGAGAATGCCCCCCACTTCCCTTCCTGTGGCCTGGGCAGGGCAACAGGCTCAAGCAGAGAAGCCCAGTTGCTGGGTCCCCTTCTCCCTCTGCCCATCCACAGTCCTGGAGCGGGCACTCACGGGCAAACCCCAGGCTCGGGAGTTTCAATCCTTTCCTGCCCCAGCTTGCCTCATTCACCTTACCTAAGTCACAGACTGCTTCTGCCCTTTGAGGTCCAATCCAGGCTGCCGCCTTGGCCCGCCCCTCCTCCCCCTGCCCAACTCTGTGGCAAAGAACTTGAGCTGAGCCACTTCCCACCCCAACCCTGGCAGGCCCGACCTGGATCTTCTTGGCACAAGTGTAGATGCAGCCCTGGAAAACGGACCGGCCAGACTTGTAGAGGCATTTCCTCTTGGGTACGTCCTGGGCACAGAGATGGGCAGTAGGGTTCAGCTGACACGAGGGGCAGGAGCAGGGAATGGGAGAGAGACGGACTGCAGGTGTCAGATGGACAAAGCAGCAGCCCAGAACAAGAGGGGAAGGGAACGAGCAAGACAGGCAGACCTGACACAGGGAGGGAGGGACGGTGGAGCTCCAAGCTGACCGGGACAGCCTCTGCCAGGGAAATCTACTACTTGTCTGGACTAGCAGCTTCCCAGGCCCAGGCTGAGCAGAGTTGGGTCGGGGAGCTGTGCTCCACCACCCTCACCTGTAGCTGGTAGCCCTGAGAGCAGCGATACTTCCGGGAGCAGTTGATGCATTTCTCCTGGGAGGTGGGGGGCACAGGAGGGGACAAGACATCAGGTGATGTTCTGTGGTCTGGGGGTGTCGACCCCCCAAACCCACTGCCCTCCTTCCTCCAGGGTGGCCTGACTGAGGGAACCTCCCGGTTTCTCACCCTCACGGCCTCATTGTGGCTGTGCAGGCAGCGGCTTGAGTCCACGGTCAGGACCCCCGAGAGGCCGAACAGTGAGCGGCCGGGAGCCTGCAGCACGGGGCCTTGCAGCGGCACATGATTCACCTCCGGCTAGGGAGTGTGACAGGAGGCGGCCAAGTTCACCCCAGCCCACCCTCACCCTGCAGTGAGAGGGAACCCCCAAGGGAAAGGGGGCTCCCAGGAAAAAGTTCTCAGGCTGGACCCCTCAAACCTGGCCACTGTGGTTGTAGAAGACAAGCCAGTATGCGGGACCCAGGAGGGAGTTGCGATGGCCCCCTCTCTGCAGGGCTGCGGGGGACAGTGCCTCCCCCAGGATCACGTGGTGGCGCACCGTGTCTGCATCCTGCAGGCCAGAGGTAGCTCAGCACGCCACACCCCTGTGTCTCTGACCTCTATGTGTTCGCCCTCCCTGGCCCTCACATCCACCACAGCCTCACCAGGTTGCTGCTGTTGCCCTGGGCTTCTAGTGAGTGATTTGTGGGCACGAAGATGGTGTAGGCAGTGGCAGCCTCGATCTGGGACACCAGCTGGTGGTGCTGGGGACAGGGGGTAGGGGTAGGCGTGTTGGTCCTTGGTCATCACACTGGGAGCCAGCCGGCTCTGCACACCTGAGGACAGCGCCCCCCACCCCAACCAGGCGCTCCCTAGTACCTGCAGCAGGTCACGGAAGAGGCCGAAGGCAGGCACAGAGCTCAGCTGCTGCAGCAAGCCTGGTCCAGTCTGTACGACGCCTCGCGGAGGCAGTAAGACCTGGCATGCAGAGGGAGAGCCCCGTAACCATGGCACGGCCTCTGGGCCGGTTAGGGAGGGAGCCCACCCCGACCCTGCCCTGTGCTGGCTGTACCTGGCTGATGATGTGCAGGACACCATTGGTGGCGAGGAGGTCAGCCACATCCACACTGGCGTTCTGCACCCAGACTCTCTGCAAGGCAGCAGGCAGTCAGCCATGGGCAGGCATGGACCTGCTCCTGAAGTGGCTCAGCCTGGGCCTGCCACACTCAGGCTACTGGCTGTGTGCTTGACCCACAGCTGGGCCAAGATGTGCCCGCACAAAGAGCCCAGCTGCCTCTAGCAGGATGGTCCCTACTGCCCAGAGAACACTTTGTGCTGTTGGCGTGTCCATGCCTCCTTGGGGGGACAGCTCTGGATGGTATGTGGGGACCCTGATATCACCCCTGGGTGCTGTGGTCTAGGGAACGGTGGTCAGGTGGCACTGTGTAGTTCAGGGAGGGCTGTGGCCAGGGGTTCTGTGGTCTAGGGGTTGTGGTCTGGAGGCTGTGGTCTGGAGTGACTGTGATATGGGGGCATCTGCGGTTGGGAGGGCTGTGGTCTGAGGGGGATTGTCGTCGGAGGGTTGTGGTCTGGGGGTGCTGCCTGGGTATCCATGTCCCTCCTGACCCCCTCTGCCCAGAGTCCTCCACATACCCCACTAGTGTTGCGAATCTCCCAGTGCACAGAACTCAGGGTGGCCACGTTCTGCCCACCCAGCCGGGCCAGGTCCTCCTCAGAGAGGGTACCCTGCAGGAAATGGGCCCTGATGGGAGTTGGAGCAGAAAGGTTTGTCAGGGGTCAGGGAACCTGGTGGATGTAAGGTACCTGGGAACTCGGGCCCGCGCCCCCACCCTGCACAGTCCGGGGGGCTGTGGACCTCCTGCTGCCCCCTGGGGAGGGGCCACCCCACCTGACCAGGTCGGGCAGCCTCCTTGGCTGCAGCCAGAAGGCCCGGTCCTCGGGGCTCATTCTGCGGATGGCTGCCTCAGAGGGCACCAGGGCTGTGACTTGGCTGTCAGCAGGAAGGGTGACGCTGGCGTTCTGTGTGCACACAGTGCAGGGAGGGAGCAGGAGGCATGATGATGGCGGCCACCTGCAGCCATGTCCAGGGAGGCTTCCTGGATTGGTCCCCCCACAAGCATTGTGCCTTTGTCTTACCTTGAACCACTCATAGAAGACAGAGAAGTGGGCATTTGCTTCTAGCTCCTAAGAGAAAGGAAAGGGCAGAAACCTCAGATCTGAGCGCTCTCCCCTCGCTCCCACCCACACCCAGGGCTTGTAGGCGCAGACAAGGTCCCTCCCTCCACACAGGGGAAAAGGGGGACTGGGCCTCACTCACCCGCAAGATGTCTCCATAGCAGCTGAAGCCATCACCTCCAAAGCCAGCGGGGCACTTACAGACCCGCTGGCCTCCCCCCACTGCACGGCAGGTGGCCTGGGACAGAGATATGGCTTCCGTTGAGCAGGCAAGCCAGAAGCCACCAGCCCTTCTCTGCTCCCTTTGCCCTCTCCCCAGGCCTGTCCCTCCAGCGAGGCAGCCTTTGTTCTCAGAGCTGGCCTGTGAGGTTGTAACTGTGTGACATGAGAATAACTGCACCCTCAATGGATGAGGGGCAGCCCAGAGAGGCCCTGCACCCTCGGGAGCCTGAGCTGAGAGATGGGGGCTGCTGTGGGGGTTGGGGAGAGCAGAGGGGGCTCAGGGGACAGGAGCTCTGGTAGCTGCAGGAACAGAGATGAGAGGTTGGGCTGGGGCAGGGGCAAGATCTGGGGCTGGGACGGCATCTGGGGCTGGGGCAGATACAGGCTCTTCTAAGCTCTTTCAGCACAGAAGCATGAATACTTGTATGGAGGGCAGAGAGAGATATAAGTGGCCCTGATGGCAGAGAGAGACCAATGTGCACTCCACCACCCAGGCCCAACCCAGCACACCTCGCCAGCCCCCCGCCCCAGCACCTGCTCACCAGGCCATGGCAGCCTCCATTGCCTGCTCGGCAGGGGTCAATGGGGCTGCACTTGTAGCCATCCCCAGCAAAACCCAACTTGCAGGTGCACCGGCTCTGGAGAGGCAAGAACAGGGAGCCTGAGCTCGCAGCCCCAGGGCTCTAGCTAGGAAGGCCTCCCTTGGGCCCCTTGGAGATCTGTGACCCTCCAGCAGGGTTGTGGGGACAGAGGCCTGGCTGACACTGCGCACTCAGCACCCAGCCCCGCCGCCAGCCCATACAGGTCAGTGGTGCAATGCGTGCATGCACAGGTGTGTGCAAAGACCACCCTAAGAGACAGCAGCTTGCACAGCCCCAGCCCAGCAGCCCTTTCCCTTGGAACGCTGCACCCTTGGTTCGTCCACACTGCCGCAGGTGACCAGTGAGCAGGTGATCTCAGATTTCAGAGATTTGTTCCCAAGGTAGGGGCACCTGGATCTTCAGGCTGCTATTGGAATCCAGAGCTCCAGCCCTCACATGCTGAGTTCTGATGGCCAAAGCCCCTGGGCTGATAACCAGGAGGCTGTCCTAGAGCTGGGTGCCCTGAGACTTGGGTGAGGTGAAAACTGACCACCCTCCCCTGCAGCTGGCATGGTGGGAGCTCCTGAACACTACTCAGAACCCCGAGTTCTCTGGGCACAACACACTTCATGTGGGGATCCCAACTTTGAGACTGAGAAGTTTTGACCTGGAGCTGGACCTCTTTCCTGTTATGGAAAGATCCACAATGCCATTGCTGTGAGGGGGCTCTTAGCCTGTTGTGCTCCACAGCACACTCCTGAGGCCCAAGGCACAGACCTCCCCCATGCTGGGGGAGCACAGGTGCAAACTCTGCCAGGCTTTGCTACAGCTCCAAGCAGGTGCCTAGCTTGCACCCAGGATTCCAGGGTGTCCCCCAGTGTCTGCTGTGGCACAGGGGGAGTCCCCCAGCCCTAAGGCCTGCATCCCCCTCCCCGCTTCCATGCCTTACCTGCCCGGGCCCCACGTAGCTGCAGAGGGCATCCTTGTGGCAACCACCACGAGCATCCAGCTCACACTCATCGATGGCCACACACACGCGGCCATCCCCGCTCCAGCCTTTGTGACACGTGCAGTTGTAACTTCCCCGGGCCCCAGGGATACACTCAGCCTGCAAGAGCCATGTCTCAATAACACAGGGTGGGGGGCCAGAGAGCCCACCTCCCCCCTGCCCTGGGGGGAGCTGCCGGAAAGGGGCTGGTTGGGGGGACACTGACGTTTTCTGAGCAGCCCCCGCGGTCTGGGCGGGAACAGGGGTCACTGCGCACACAGGAGTAGCCATCACCCTCGAAGCCGTCAAGGCAGACACATCTGGTGGGGGGCACGTGGAGGAGGGGTCTCCGCTGAGCCTGAACTGATGAGCAAACCCAGCGTAAAATCCCAGATGCGGGCCCAAGAAGCAGCGCCAAGTCCTTACCTGGCAACACCGGCCTGGCTCACGCAGCGGGCATGCAGGTGGCAGAGCTGCGATAGCCCCGTGGGGCCACAGTCCATCGTGGACTCGTTGCAGAAGCGGCCGCTGAAGCCAGGGGCACATGTGCCATGCTGGCACGCGCCTCCACTGCCTGGTCTGTTGTCACACAGCCCATGGACACAGCCACAGTCTGCAGGGAGGAGGGGATAGGGGCTGGGAAGGGACAAGGCTGGAGGAGAGCCCAGAGGTGCTGGGGACTGGGGCAATCAGGATAGAGTGCACTTTGAGGTCCTTCTCAATTCAACAGGGAGAAGGAAGATGAGGGGTACACCCCAAGTCTGCTTGCTTTAGGTTACACTATAGTTCTCTTCCTGGCATGGGTAAGGCGAGTGCCTGTAAACTTAAGTCTTCTTGCACTGTCTCTGGCTTCCACCCCCTTTCCTGGGGGGAACCAATCCCCTTTTTCTGGGAGGACTTATCTCTCCGGCAATGGCCTGGGCTGCAGCCACCCACCTTCCTGGCACTTGTCCCCGTGTTTGTTTGGGTTGGAGCAGATGTGGCAGGCGATGCCCTTGTAGTCCGGGAAGCAGAGGCAGGCCCCGTTGCCCTGGATCCCATCGTTGCACTGGAGGGGGGCAGGTGGGTCAGCCGGGGCAGAACCCTGCACACCCCTCCCCCATTGCCACTCCCCACACCTGCACAGGCCAGCTCTCAGCTCTGCTCCCCCAAGAACCCACCCATCAAAAGGCAGAGTTGCAGAAAGAAAGGGAGAGGGAAAGAGAGTGTGTAAGCACTTCCATCAGCTGATTCACTTCCCAAACTGTGGTGATGGTCAGGACTGGGCTGGGCTGGGCCCAAGCCAGGAGCTAGGAGCTCCTTCCAGGTCTCCCATGTGAGTGCAGAGGCCCAAGCACTTGGGCCATCCTCCCCTGCTTTCCCAGGTGCGTTAGCAGGGAACAGGATCTGGTGTGGCGCAGCTGGGACTTGAACCAGTGCACATACGGAATGCCAGTATCACAGGTGGCAGCTTAACCCACTATGCTACAATGCTGGCCAACATAGTGACTGTTGAAAATCACGGATATTGCTGAAGAATTAGCTCCCCAAAAGGCACCCTGCCCTGGAAGCCATGTGGGTGACTTCTGCTCAACCTAGGGAGATGGAACTCTCTTCTTCTATTGCCAGACACTGAAGCAGCCCCAATATTCAAAGTGGCAAAAAAACAAACAAACAAAAAAAAAAAAAACCAGGACTGCCAGAGTGGCTCAACAGACTAATCCTTCAGCTACAAGTGCCAGCAGTCCATGGGCACTGGTTCTAGTCCTAGCTGTCCTACTTCTGATCCAGCTCTCTGCTTATGGCCTAGGAAAGCAGTGGAGGATGGCTCAGGTTCTAGAGACCCTGCACCTGCGTGGGAGACCTGGAAGAAGCTCCAGGCTCCTGGCTTTAGCCTGGCTATTGTGACCATTTGGGGAGTGAATCAGCAGAAGGAGGATGCTCTCTGTTTCTCCTTATCTCTATAAATCTGCCTTTCTGATTAAAAAAATAAATAAATCTTTAAAAATACATACACAGAGTGGCAAAAACTGAACACCCAAGATAACTACTGGCAAAGATGCCAAAAAAAATGTACCTAGTAAGTGCTGTCTAGATAAAACACTGCAAATAATTTCCATTGCCAAGGCCAGAGAGATGCAGGCCTGGCTCAAACACACGGCCAATCACCAGCCAACCTGGAAGGAGCCCCGGCTCCCCAGCCCCTCCCCCGGGGACTCACTCTGCCCTTGCCGTAGCAGGGGTTGGAGAACCCTCCGGGACACTGCGTGCACTCAGGCCCAAAGAAGCCTCTACAGCAACCGAGCTTCTGTAAGAGACAGGGTGGGTCCCATACCCAGAGTCTCACCTCCCCTAGGTCAGTCGCCATCTCTAGGGCAAGGAGGTAAGGCTGGCCCCTCCATGGCACCTGCTCGCAGCCCGGCTTGGGGACCCCGGGCTAGAAGCATCAAGCCCAGGCTCACCGTGACAGTCTGGTTGCAGTACTGGGCACAGCCCTTCCTCATCACGTTGAGCCCAGCTGGGTCGTGGGTGTAGACACACTCCTTGGGCAACATGTCCTGGAGATGGGTCATGCCAGCCAGTTAGCAGGGCCAGTCCTGGGCAGGCCCCTGGGGCTCACACTGCTCCTCAATGAAGCCCTAAAGCTCTGGCCTGGTCTCCCAGTCCCTACTCCCCACCATCACCTGAGGTGTTTAGAAACCTCAGCAGGGAGCCAGGGAGCCCTGAGGCTGGACCAAGGGGTGCTCACCAGCCTCACGCTGTTCGGGGGACAGGTGCTGGTGTTCAGAGCTTGGCAGTCCACACAGGAGCCCTGGGCAGGGCAGGGCAGGGCAAGGCAGGGCAAGGCAGGGCAAGGCAAGACAAGAAAGGCAGAGCAGTTAGTGCGGATTCATTCAGCAAACCCTGGCCATGACACTGAGCCCAAGTCTGAGGAATGAGAGGGCAGGGCTGACCACAGGGAGGCCAGAGGACAGCACTCCACTCTGCCACCCAGCGGAGAGGAGGGGAACAGCCGAGCAGGGGGGAGGGAGGCTGGGATGGGGGGGCGGCCTTCGGGAACCTGCAGGGAGGCCAGGGGGGAGTCCCGAGCCAGTGACAGCAGGGCCAGAACCTTCATGGATGGAACAAGGGCACCAAGGGGGCAGATGCCATGACTGCTGGGACCCCGGGTAAGGGCTGGCACCAAAGTTGGGGCTCACAGTCCCCTATGCCCACCTATTGACTCAATACCCACTAAAGTCTCAGAATGCTGTGTCCCCACCAAAGCTCGTATTGCAACTCAAGCCTTCATGTGTCAGTGTTGAGAGTGGGAAGAGGTTTCAAGAGTCCCAAGGGCTTCACTTCATAACAGGATGGATGAGAGGGTTTCCGTTGCGCCGGGAGAGAGCTGTGAGTGGCCATGTTAGCCAGACTCCTTCCCGCCCCAGCACAGCCCCCACCCCCAGGCCTGTTCTCGAAAGTCCAAAAGCATTGCGAACTAGCATCATCTTTCCCCCAGAAATCATCCAGGCCCAGGGACTTGGCTTGTGGTGGCCTCCAAGGAGGGACTGAGACGGGAAGCCGCCCCCGAGGGTGCGGCCTCCTTAGCCAGGGCTCACCACCACAATCTCGTGCTTCTCCTCATTGCAATGCTTGGGCAGGATGGGCAGGATAGTTGGTGGCAGCAGGATGCCCTCCAGCAGGTGGATCACGCCATTGGCTGCCAGCAAGTCCACTGTCCGCACTGGAATGCCCTCAGGTCCCAGCAGGATGCGCCCCTGCAGAAGAGGCTGCTGGTGTGCCATGGCCGGCCCAGCCCTGGCTGCGCAGCTCCACCGCTGCAACCTCAAGGCCGGGCCCAACCAGCTGTGTCCACCTCATCTGCCTCCACTCTGCCCCACAGTGGCTTACCCCCCGCACCCCCCCCCCCCCGCTGGTCCTCAGGAGGAGAACTTGGCCTGTATTGCTCTCCTTCCTCTACCCCAAGAGAGCCTAACAGGGCACTCTGCCCGCCACAAAGTCCCAAACCTACAGGCCACTTGTCCTGAATGTCCGTGACTCACCTCTTCGGAGATGTTCACAGCCAGCACCTGGTTGGCCATGGTCAGGACACGGCCCTTGGAGAGGAGCTTGTCCACGGTCAGCTGGAGGGAGGCAAGTGGCTTGAGGCAGGCGAAGCCACACCTCGCCTGATGACCTCACAGCTGCCTCTCTCTGTGCTAAGGGGGGGTCCAGATAGCAACAGGGGAGGGGGAAGGAAGAGGTAGTTGTCCCCCCCAACTCCAGGGGCTGGGAAGATCAGATTCTACACTCAGCTCCCCAGTTCTGTGGGGAGCCTGTGGGGGATGCAGGGGAACAGGGCGCACCACACCCCAGCCCCACACGCTTCCTACCTGGCCATGGTTGTAGATGTGGTACCTCACCAGCTCCTGCAGTTTGGAGAGCCCCTGGCAAGCAAGAGAGGGTTCAGCTGCTGGAGGGGAGGAGGTGCCCAGCAGCCCCAGCAACGCCAGCCCCTCCTTCCGCATGATGCTTACAGCTGTGAAGAGGTAGATGAGGCGGCCATCACGCAGGCTGTCCACGGCCTCATTGCTGGGGACGAAGACTGTGAAGGGCCCGGGCCCCTCCAGGATGGAAGGTAACCCGCAGTTCTGCAGCAGTTGGGGGTGGTACTCAGGGGACCCAGACACCTGCCTAGGTCCCACTCACTGCCCAGGGCCCACGGGTGGGAAACATGGAAAGTGGAAGACACAAACAATGGGCCCTCGCCACCCTGGGACCCCAGGCCGCTGCCAGGCAGAGCTGGGAGCAAATAGGTCCTGACTCCTAATCCCATATGGGCCCGGTTGCCCACCTGCCCCCTGCCAACTCACCTCCAGGATGGTCTCAAAGCGGCTGAAGACTTCCTTAGAGGCCAGGATCTGGCCAATGGTTTTCTATAGAAAGTGCCAGCTATGAGGACCTCGGGGGACAGGCAGGCCATGCATCCCTGCCCAGAATCCTGTGCAGGCCTGAAGTCCCCCACAGGGGGAGGGGGAAGGGAAGGCACCCACTCACCTCTGAGTCCACGGTGAGCCCGGCAAATGGCTGCAAGCGCTGCACGCTCACCATGTGAAAGACACCGTTGGCGGCCACATAGTTGGTCCTCTGGATGCTGCCCATCTGCTGGGACTGGCTGCCGTACTTATAGGTGTACCTCGGCTGAGACACTGGGTGTCCAGCTGTACCCCATGGCAGCCCCCTAACCTGTGGAACACCCTCCCATCTCCATACCCTTCCCCCCGCCGGGGCTGTTCTCCCCACCTGGGACCTTGTCCCCTCTTACTAAGCGGTTCAGAGAGATGGTGACCTCCTGGCCAGCCAGCGTCCACCATCTGTACGTGTTTGTGGGCCTCGTGTCATCCAGAAGGTGCTGCCCCGCAATGATGTATTGCCTGCAGAGCTGCTGGGCAAAGGAAGTCTGCAGGGGAAGGGGGAGGGAGTCCAGGGGAGGACAGCAGGGAGAGAGATGGCACTCAGCCCATGCAAGCCAATGCCACCCTGCCCACATAGCACAGGGGACAGCTCCCCAAGCACACACCAGGGACCCTCCCAGAGCCCTGACACCAGGGCAGCCTCCAGGGTGGAGGGGTCAGGGGGCAGACAGAGGCCAGGAGCAGCCAGCTGGGCCATGGGCTGCAGCTCACGTTCATGGTCCTGGGGAACAGGGAGGAATGCGATGTGATGGACGGTACAAGCACCGTGAAGGGGCCAGATGTGGCGAGGATCTCTCGGCAGCCCTGCTCTGGAGCAGCAGAAGAGGAAAGTCAGGAAAGGTCTGGGGAGCTCCTTGGGAGTCCTTGCAGAATTTGGTCTGGCCCTCCCCAGCCCCACACTCTCCTGCTCCTTCCCTGCCAGGGGAGCTGGGCCAGGGGCGAGCAGCCGGATCCCAGGCACGCACTGGCGGTCATGTTCACGTACCCAGCATGCTGATGGCCACTTGAAGCCTCAGGATCATCAGGCCTTTCTGGTTGGCCTTCTGGATCTCATGGAGCAGGTGTCCATAGCAGGCACGCCCATCCCCTATTTCACCCTCCTTACACACGCAGCTGGGAGGGCCAGGGAAGAGTGGGTCAGGGTGGGGGCATGGCCAGTGACCTCCACACCCCCGGCCCCCACCCTAACCGCAAGGCTCCTTAGCTGAGGCCCACTTGCCCAGCCCACCTCCTTTGCTTTGCCCACTGATGTCACTGTGCCTACCTGGTCTTCCCATTGGGGGTCACCTGGCAGGTGGCTGACTGGTCACAGGAGCGGCCATGGCACAGGGCAATGCAGCCAGCAGCTGGGTTCTCCTTGATGCTCACCAGACCCGGCTGGCACGAGCAGATGGCCTGACCATTGGAAGGGACAGCAGGAGACAGCATGGCCGTCCATGAAAACTGCCGGCCTCTGCTACACAGGCCCCTGCATCCTCCCCCAAGGGCCCTGGGGCTCGCCCAGGTCCTGCAGCCAGTGTGGGCCTGGGAGGGCTCCTGGCTCACCTTGCCAGGCTTCTGATACAGACACAGAGTGGAATTGCTGGGACAGCCCCCGAAGTTGGCGGTGCATGGGTCCTGGGGCAGACACACTGTCCCATCCCCATGGTAGTTTTCAGGACAGTAGCAGCGGGCCTGTCCCATTGGGCTCACAGAGCACTGGGCCAGTGGGGAGCAGGGCGAGGGCTGGCAGGGGTTGGGTGCTGCCAGGGAAGGGAACATCCAAGTGAGTGGGGGCACCCAGCAACTCCGTCTACCCTCCCAGCCCCCGCCTGGCACTCCCGGTCTCACGCAGGCATTTGTTGCCCTCCTTAGTATATCCAGGCAGACACTGGCAGGAGGGGGCCTCTGCCGAGCACTGGGAGTTTTGTGGACAGCGCAGGGCCTGGCAGGCGGGTACCTCTGAGAAGGGAGACAAGAGAGTGCTGGGATTTCCAAGGTCCCAGCTGGGAAGCATGGGAGCAGAGGCATTCCAGCTAATTTGCTGTGTGACTTTCAGCAGAGCCTGCCCTCTCTGGCTCCTGGATGATACCCACTCCCCAAGGCCAGCCTACAGGCAGAGGTCTTGCTCAAGATTGGCGCATGGTCAGTCACCCTGGGTCATGGCCACAGAAGACCTTGGTGGTACCTGGGCTGCGCCAGCACATGCTCACCTTGGTCACAGCGTGGGCCAGTATATCCAGCAAAGCACAGGCAGCTGCCATCTCCTTGGGGCCCGTGTTTGCACACGCCATGTACACAGCTGCACACTGGAAGGGACACATAGGCACAGCTGGGAGGGCGGGGCCCCGCCTTTTGTGTTTTGAAACTCAGCCCTGCAGGTGCTGCCTTAGGAGCCCAGGGCAGGCAGCTCAGCCTATGGGCATGCTAAAGGCCCAGAGAAGGCACCTGGCCTCCAGAGCTTCCTGAAGGGAAGGGGGTTCAGAGAGGGCTTCCTGGAGGAGGCCGTTAAGGAGTTCATCACATACAAAGGCTGATGGAGTGACAGAAGCAAGCCTGGGAGGGGTCGGCTGCACCCCTCGCCTCCCCTGCCTCCCTTGGTTTACAAGTACTAACCCGACAGGCAGTTGGGCCCAAAGTGGGTGGCATCCCGACACTCCTGGCAGGCTGAGCCGCTGAAATTTTCCTAGTGGGAGATGCCCCGAGTCAATGTGGTGACTCCCAGCCCCATGCCCAGCCCTGTCCAGTCCTCACCTGGCACACGCAGGTCCCGTTCCCGGCCACACCATCCAGGCAGGTCCCATGGCCATTACACGGGGTCTCAGCACCTCCAGGGCATTCTGTGGACCGCACCCCGACAACTGGGCTCCAGTCCCCGACCCTTGCCTTGCCCTGGACCTCAGCAGCTATGGCAGGGGGTTCCACACTCACCCCACCCTCACCCCAGGGCAGTCAAAGCCAGGAGGCTAAACCTGGGTGATGGAAGGTGGTAGCAGGGAGAGCAGGAGAGGGGGGAAGGGGCGGGGGCTGGTCTACAGGCAGCTGGGGAGCCCAGGGCGGGACCACCCCCTACCATAGCACTGAGACCCCCAGTAGCCAGGGCAACAGGCCTTCTGTACAACGTCCTTCCAACACTCCAGGCTGCAGCCACTCATGGACATCAGGGAGTCCCCCAGCTGGACCTCGTAGCTGGGCACAGAGGGTGTACAGGGTCACGCCGAGGGCTCCCTGCCCCCAGCCCCCCCCCCCCCCCCGTGCTGGCTGTCAGGGTTCTCCCTCTCTCCCACCCTTCTCCCTTCAGGTACCCAGCCAACACTCCCTACTCTCCCTGGGGACTCCTTCCATCAACTCTGCAGGCGCCCTGCTCCCGCTTCCTGCCAGCACCCAGGCACCCCCGTACCGGCAGCCCTGGGAGATCTTCTGTGGGAAATAGGGAGTCCAGTCCGAGGGACACACTTGATTCTTGATGGCCGCACACGAGGTGCAGGGGACATGAGTGACGAACCTGGTCTTCACATCACAGCGCTTGGACCGCACCTAGGCCAAGGGCAGGGCGTGATATGAGGGCCATGGAGCCGCCATGGAGTTTGTGGTCCAGGTCAGCAGCAAGCCTCATGTCCCTCGGGCTTCAACCTTTCGCCTGTTGAGTGGGACACAGCAAGACCTCGGCACCCCACCGCACTGGCCTGGGAGCTGTAGCATCTGACACAAGAACCCAGATAGCTTGTCCCGTCGCAGCCCTGGCCAGTGGCCTTGCCCAGTCACTGGGTAATGGTGTGAGTTAGAGACCTACTCTCACAGCCTGTTTTGCTCTACATTTGGAAACAAACAGGTGGAGTGCTGTGGAGTAGCGAGCAAAACCTCTGCCTGCAGCGCCGCTATCTCATATGGGTACTGGTTGGAGACCTGCATGCTCTACTCCTGATCCAGCTCTTTGCTTATAGCCTCTTTGTTTAAGCAGTAGAAGATGGCCCAAGTGCTTGGGGCCTCTGTACCCACATGGGACAACTGGAAGTAGCCCCCTGGTTTCTGGCTTCAGCTTGGCCCAACCCCAGCAATTGTGGCCATTTGAGGAGCGAACCACCAGATGAATGATTCTCTTTCAAATAAACAAATCTTAAAAAAAAAAAAAAATGGGGCCAACATGGCCTATCAGGTTGATCCCCTGCCTACGGTGCCCACACATGTGTGCCATTTAGAGTCCCAGCTACTCCACTTCTGATCCGCTGTTTACGTGCCTGGAAAGCAGCAAAGCATGGCCCAAGTCCTCGGAACAATTCACCAACGTGGGCTGGAGGAGCTGAGTGTCTGTGGACTAGGGGCTTATCACAGCCAAGAACACTTGGTGTGATGGTTTATCTTGAAGCAACCAAGTCCCAATGTTCTTGCTCCTTCACATCTCCTTCTGGTCCTAAATAGTGGAAGAAGGCCCTCCAGCCCAAGGCTAGCCCTTCCTCTTTCCCTCTGTTCACTGGCTGTGTTGCTCTTCCCTTTTGGCTTTAACAGAAAAATCAACCCTGGAGACTGCTAGTTTCCTCCAAGATAATGAACAAGAGCTTGCATATCCTTACCTTTGTAACAAGAGCTTTGTCACCCTGGCTTTTTGGGACATAAAAGTCTGTATGTTCTTAGACAAGGCGTGTCATCCTAAAAGCATGGATGATGGCCGCAATATAGTTTAATAAAATTGTTTCTCAGGTTATTAGTTTAATAAAATCATCTCTCTGGGGCTTGGCACGGAAGCCTAGTGGCTAACGTCCTCATTTTGCACGCATCAGGATCCCATATGGGTGCAGGTTCTAATCCTGGCTCTTCCATTTCTCTTCCAGCTCCCTGCTTGTGGCCTGGGAAAGCAGTAGAGGATGGCCCAAAGCCTTGGGACCCTGCACCCATGTGGGAGACCCAGAAAAAGCTCCTGGCTCCTGGCTTTGGATCAGCTCAGCTCCAATCATTGCAGCCATAAAGGGAGTGAATCACTGGACAGAAACTCTTTCTCCTCTGTAAATCTGATTTTCCAATTAAAAACAATTTTTAAAATTTATTTTTTATTGGAAAGGCAGATATACAGAGAGGAGACAGAGAGGAAGATCTTCCGTCCGATGATTCACTCCCCAAGTGAGCGCAACGGCCGGTGCTATGCCGATCCGAAGCCAGGAGCCTCTTCCGGGTCTCCCACACGGGTGCAGGGTCCCAAAGCTTTGGGCTGTCCTCGACTGCTTTCCCGGGCCACAGGCAGGGAGCTGGATGGGAAGCGGGGCTGCCGGGATTAGAACCGGCGCCCATATGGGATCCCGGGCGTGCAAAGCGAGGACCTTAACCACTGTGCCATTATGCCGGCCCCCCCCCCCAAAAAAAAATCTTAACAAAAACAGCAGCAAGTGACCCATCATGGACACAGGCAGGGCACACCGGACTGGCCCTTTATGCGTCACTCAGCAGCCTGCCCCACTAGGCTGCCCCACAGGGCCCTCTAGTTTAGTTTGAGGATCCGCTCTGCCACCTGGGGCTCAGGGACTCAGGAGAGCCTGAGGCCTGACAAGTGGGGCTGGGGTGAACACTGGAGCAAGAGGGTGTCTGGTTCACGTGCCTTCGGACTGGACAGTCCAAAGCACAGCTCCCACCCATGGAGTCCATGTACCTAACACAAAGGGGTACCTGGGCAGCTTCTTGGGGACTGAAAGATGCCGGAGGGCTGCCTGGGCGGGGAGTAGGCGTAAATGAACCTGTATAATAGGCAAGGGGGCAGCTCCAGAAAGCAGTTTTTTGTGTTTTTTTGTGTTTTTTGGTTTTTTTTTTTTTTTTTTTGCATTTTTAACTTTTGCCCCTGGCTGCTGCCCAGGAATGTGGGGAGCAGGGAGTGGGCAGGCAAGAGGCTAGCACCTGAGGTGGGCATGCAAGGCAGGAGGCATCTGGTTTGTCCCCATGACAGGGGTCTAACAAACTGTAACCCCACAGGTCCCCTCTCTCCACAGCCCCAAACTTGTGGGTGGCTGGTCAATGCCCCCAGAGCCCAATGCTGGGGCTGTGAAGTCCCAGGAGCCTGCAGCAGTGCACCCCAGGTAGCAGAGCCCAACCTTAGGGTGTTTGGTGTTTGACACACAGGGACAGAAGGGAGGTGAACTGTGACAGAGTGTACTGGAGAGGCCTGGCTCCCATAGTTGGGAACTTCTGAAAAGTGCTGAGTATGTTGCGGCTGGCCGGCTGGCCCAGAACTGGCCCCCAACTGGCCCCCCGCACATCCTTCTCCTCGCCTAGGACCCAGTCCAGCTGTGTGACTCTCCAGGGCACGAGAGGAGAAACGGCGGCCCCAGCACTTTCTTCCCAAGCAGCCCTTGTGCCGCCGTGATTTGGCCTCTTCCGCTCATGCCTCTGCGGTCTGCTAACGGGGAAGTGGCTGGGGGCAGCCTGGATGCTACTGCGGGGCCAGCAGCCTGCGGTCTCACCGCACCCCCTCCCTCCTCCTGTGCCCTCCTCTCCTGTCCTCAGCTTTGCTGAGCCAGAGGGTAACTAGGAAATTGGGTAACACTGAAGGCGAGCAGCTGGGGGGGCTCACAGCCAGGGCTGGGTGGGCAGCAGGCTCCCCCTACCCCAGACCAACTGGGCCCTGCCTGGGGTAGGGGGCTGGCAGCCTCCCACTTGAAATAAAGTGGCACAGTGCCAGCTGAGGGCTCTAGGGCAAAGCCAGTGCTGAAAACCACCCGAGGCGAGGTAGGGTGCTGGTGTTGGCATTTGTCACCATGTGTGACAGTGATGGATGAAGAGGCTTTCCTCCTGCCACTTGCATGCCTCTGGGGACCACACCCAAGGGCTGGTGGTCAGGTCCTCCCTCCAGGAACACCTCAGGCTCCACTGTGAGCAGAGCAGCGGTGGTACCCCAGCCCCTAGTGGGGATCGAGTTTGTGGTGTCCACCTCTCACATCGACATCGAGGGGACCCCAGGACAGGGGGAGGCAGGACTGGGTCCTGAATGAAGCCCTTGCATTCTATGCTAAGCTTAGGGCATAACTCTCAGCAGCACATGCCTGGCGCAGGGACCAGCCAAGACTCTCCCGTGTTGGCCTAATCTGCCCAAGACCCACAGGACCTCCCAGCCCAGTCCTTACCCGGGTCCCTGCTACACGTGGTTTTGGGAAAGGCGGAAGAGGGGCCACGAGTGAGGTCAGCGTTGCAATCCTCTCTCCCCACTAAGAACCAAGGACTCCATTCCCTGGCCCAGGCAGGCTCCATCCCAGCCCTGAAGAGCAAACTCCAGGTGGCCAGAGGCAAAAATTTCTAACCATCCAAGCCGACATACACTGTTATTCCATGCATTCCTTATGCTGCCTGCGACATTGCCTTGCATCACGTGGGGAGACAGGCACAGCAGCCCAGCCACCTTGGCAGCCTTTCAGCTACCTGTCCCAGCTCTGGCAAGACCCCTTCCATGGTACCTGCCAGAGGGATTCAGGCTGTATAAGAGGAAGAGTGTGTGTTGGCAAGGCTCTGGTATGTGTTGTAAGGGCCTGGTGCCCACCTGCCTGGTGGTGGGGTCCTGGGCAAGTTCATCTGAGGGCTGCAGGGACAACAGCAGCCACCCCAGAGGGCAGGACTTGACCTCTGAGGAGACATATCTCCCAGGCAGGCAGGCCCCAGCCAGGGGATTCCAGCATCACACACACAGTGGAGGACTCCCTCAAAAGCTCCAGCGGAGACAGCCTGCTCACCCCTGGGCCTGGGGGAATCTGCAGAGATACAGTCAGTTCCCACCCAGGGCAGGCAAGATAGGGGATCCTAATTAGGCAGGAAGGGTTGGAGGTTGGTTCTGGTAGCTGCTGTTTGCGGGGCAGTGGTCATGACCAGCTCCCTGGTCTCCAGCACTTCCAGGGAGGCAAGGGCCGGAGGACTGCCTCCTTTACCTGTGGGCTGGCTGCCCACCCCACCCGGCTGCCAAATGGTGACCCACCCCTGTGCCCCAGGTGTCAGCCACAGCCGTTGGCTCCCCCAGGGGAGGCGGGTGGGCGCAATAGCCCAGCTGCCCGGGACATGCCCAGACAGGGCCACTTGTATGCCAGCTGCTCTGTGTGGCCCCAGCCCCATGCCGGATCCACGCAGTCCCTTCCTGCTGGCTGGCAGAGTGAGCCCTCCGCCCCCGCCCCCAGCCCCGCTTACTCACCTTCTGTACCTTCACGAAGCCAGGGCCAGCCAAGCAGAGGGCCAGCAAGCAAAGCAGGAGGTGGGCCTGGGGTCCCAGCATGGCTGGCGGGCACACTGGGCAGGACCGCTGGGGGAGTGAGCGCTAGGAGGCAGGCGCAGGGCGGCAGGCGGGACGGGGCGGGCAGTCGCCTTAAAAGCGACCGGAGGCCCCACCGGCTCCCCCCGCCCCCCCACAGGAACATGCCAGGATTTCCCTTCTGCGCATCAGCGGCTTGCAGGCGGAAGGGAAGGCGCTGGCTACTGACCTCCTCACCGACGGCCCGGGCCCCTGCTCTGCTTCCGAGCCCAGCCAGGAACCTCCGCAATGCTAGAGCTTTCCCCAAGGCCTGACGGAGTCAGCCGTGAATGTACAGTGCTTTCCCCTAACTGCCATCACATCTCCCAGGAAGCTGGGAGGGTGCGCACTCCCCAAACTGGTCAGCCCGACGCCTCTCAGTCCCACTCCCATCCCCCCCCCATACTCAGCAGCAGTCTGGATGGGGGGGTCTCAGGTGGGGGGCTCTCTGCTGCTTAGGAGCCAGCCTGTTGCTCACACCCGGCTCTGCCGTCCTCCGTCCTGGGCTTCACAGACCAGGTGCAGGTATTTACATTTACGCGCAAAGGAACGGGATTAAAACGTGAAGGAGAAAAACGTGCTTTTCACGCATGTGTGTGGCTTGCCCTGAGTAAAGCACCTCCAGCTGGGCCGAGGGTCTTGAGCGAGTGAGCGAGCTCCCCCAGCTGCAAGAGGTTGAGAAGCTGCGGTGCTGATGAGGTGGGAGTGGCGTTTCCCCAGGCAAGGAGGCACCTGGAAATTTTAAGGTCTTCCCATCAACTCCCATGTGGGGTTTATTATCTGTATTTTCATGGCACACCCACCCCACCCCGAACTAGCCGCTGGATGAAGCCAGTGTTTTCCTTCAGGAACGAGGAAAGCATTACACGCAGGGACTTCAGCTCCCTCAGACCTGAACTAGCTGCCTGCCGTCCCCTCCACACGGGAGCCAATTAAGCAGTTCTAAACCTCATTTTTATTTTTTTAAAGATTTAAAAAAATATATGTATATATGTAAGGTTCATTTATTTTTATTGCAAAGTCAGATATACAAAGAGGAGGAGAGACAGAGAGGAAGATCTTTCGTCCAATGATTCACTCCCCAAGTGACCGCAACGGCCGGTGCTGCGCCGATCCGAAGCCAGGATCCAGGACCTTCCTCCAGGTCTCCCACACGGGTGCAGGGTCCCAAAGCATTGGGCTGTCTTCGACTGCTTTCCCAGGCCACAAGCAGGGAGCTGGATGGGAAGTGGGGCTTTCAGGACACCGGTGTCCATATGGGATCCTGGTGCATGCAAGGCGAGTACTTTAGCCACTAGGCTACCGTGCCAGGCCCAGTTCTTAGTTTTTAAGATTTGTTTATTTGAAAGGCAGAGTGATACAGAGCTCTTCCATCCACTGGTTGACTTCACATCTGACTGCAATGACCGAGGCTGGGCCAGTGCACCAGGGAGCTGGATTGGGGGTAGAGCAGCTCTGGTACGGGATGCCAGCGTTGCAAACAGTGGCCTCACCCGCTGAGCCTGTCAGCTCCTTGCAGAGCAGGATGCTGTGCAAGCTGGGAGCAGTCGGAATGTTAAGAGGTTCCCAGCGCGGAGGTGTGGCGTGAATCACAAAGGGGAGCAGCCCCTCACTCCCCTGTTACTGCTAGGGAAACTGAGGCTGAGGTCTCAGGTCCTCCAAGGTCACTCAGCTCATTGGTGTCAGGTTTAGTTCCCCTAGTCCTGAACTGCAGCGCCGGGCAGCCAACTTGTATGCTGGCTGGGAGAAGGGGGCCTGGCTCCTGCTGTCCTCCTTGGCATGAGGGTGCTTGGCTGGGTGGCGGCTGGGGATGTGAGTGCAAGAACGTTCCTTGGAGACTGCTTCACTGTCCTGTTCCTTCCTCCAGACCCCCACGATGGTTTCTCCAGGCTTGAGTCTCCTCTGCTGGCTCGGAGGGAAACGGGGAGGGGGGACCAGAAGCAGGCCTGGGAACCAGCTTGGCCATGCCCCTCCTCGCATCAGCCTTGGAGAGGGCGCGCTGGCTGCGGGAATGGGAGCAAGGCCCACAGCAATCCTAGACTCGGGACCTCACGCTCTCTACAAGCTGTGGCTTCAGGTGGGGATGGCTCAGGGCACAGGATGCCCCGAGGAGGGGTCAGGCTGCAGGAGTGGAGGTGCCCCAGTGTCCTCTCCACCTCTTCTGCTTGGCCCAGCTTTCTGGGAGAGCCACAGCACTGCAGGACTGAGTGCATCCCAGCCAGTACCTGGCTCCAGGACACCCTCCCTCCCACGCCAACCATGCCTGGGCTGCTGCTGGGATGGGACGGCAGTGACTCTTCAAATGCGAACCCTGGGTTGTGTCAAATCTGCTTTATTGGGACAGACAAAATAGGCCACAGGAGTCAGACTGGGTGCTGGCAGCTCTGCGTCCCCTGCTCCCACCCCTCTCAGCCCCCAGGCCAGGAAGGGGTGTGGGCTCCTGTCTCCCAGGGCTCTCCCCCATGTCTGGACCGGGGGAGGCCTACGCCTCAAGAGACCAGGCGAGTGGCAGCGTCTCTATGAATTCTGCTCCCAGCGTCGTTAGCAGCGAACATTCACAATGACAGCAGCAGCAGCGAGGGACTGGACTAGACACTTCAGGAAAGGACGTGAGGAAGTCACGCACAGCCACAGCGCCACGTATTCACACGAAGTCACAAGACACAGCACCAGGTGACCACGGCCACATGGGGTGCCAGCCACGCCACTAACAACATTCACATTCTTAACGAGGTACCCAAAGGGAAGTGACGTCATTTCTAGAGGAATGAGGAAAGCTTGCCTCCTTGCCCCACGGAGGCTCCAGGAAGGACAAGTGCAGGCAGCTGCTGTCTGAACTAGCCCGTGAGCTCGACGGGCAGCTCTCGGCCGCACAGGGCCTCCCACTGACGGGCCAGCAGCGAGATTAGCTTCTCTCGGCTCTCAGCGCTGGGGACAAACACCTGCCACTGGACCTCCCGGCTCTGGCCAACCTTGGCCGGGCCGCTGGATTCCTCCCCAAAGTGGTCTGGGGTGACACTGCCCATGAGGTCATGTCCCTGCACATCATCAAAGATGAGGGTGAGGGCCTGTGGGTAGGTCTGGTAGCCCATGAGCACACGGTCCAGGTCCCGGATGCGGCGGCCGTCCTCCAGCCGGTACCTGTCCCTGTGCGGTGGCTCCCTGGCAAACTCTGGCAGTGGGTAGTGGATGCAGTCCTCATCCAGGAGGAAGATCTCTGCACTGGTTAGCAGCAGGGTCTTGGGGCGCAGAGGGCTCCGGCAGCGCCCGGGGGGCAGGGGGCCCACCTGGAAGGCTTGCACGTACAGCAGAATGCTGAGCTCCTCAGCCTTCTCGGGCTCGGCTGTCTTCTGGGCCACGATGAATGTCAGGTCCCCAACCTCCTCCTCACTGGGGTAAGTGAACTTGACACGGCTCGAGTGGATCAGCTCATAGTTCTCCATTTTGCCTGCAGAGAGACACCTCAGGCTCTGCAACTGCAGACAGGCCCGGGGGGGCCCGAGGTACCCCAGCATGAGTGTGGCACAAACCCCCAGGCCAGCAGCCCAGGCAGACCCCTGACTGCTGGGACGAAGGCTGAGCCATGGACAAGCCCATGGGGCCCTGGCAAGCTCAGCAGGGAGTGGTGCTGGGATGCCTCCCGGGCCTGCCTGCAGTTTGAGCTAGACAGGGTACCTGTGGTCTTGTTCCCAAACTCGGAGTAGAAGTCTTTGTCAACGGGCTCAGGCTCAGGCGTGCGCTCCAGCGAGGAGAGAGCACCCATGAGGTGCTGCAGGAAGCAGTGGGTCAGGTAGCTGTCCCTGGTCAGGCAGGTGACAGCCTGCATCGGGGAGGAGCCTGTGGGAGGAGAGGTGGTCCTCAGCCCTGCCCCGACCCAGCCACCTTGGGGGAGGGGCCCCCAGCAAGGCGCGGGGAGGAGGTGGCCGTTCCTGCAGCAGGAAGGGCTGAGGCGTGTTTCTGGAAGAGAACGCACAGGCTTAGGGAAAGAGCCCAGCTTTCTCTCTCCAGGAAGTGTGACTCAGAAACATCCTGCCGGCCCATTGCTCGGCCTCTGACCATGGCACCCGCCCCTTGCCCTTAACCCGGGGCTGGTTTCTGCACCCTCAGCAGTGCCTGAGGCAGTTTCCTCTCTGCCCGCCCGGCAAGCCGGGAGATAACTGCCCAGGATAGCAGGGCCACACATGGAAGGGGGCACAGGCGACAATGTCCTTCATCGCCGTAAGACAAAGCACAGCCAGTCACTCACCCGTCAGTCGGAAATGCTGGTCAAAAAGCCCCACGTTGACCGACTGCAGGTCGCTGAGCCGCAGTACAAAGCATTGGGAGATGTGGAAGGGGCTGTTGTTGTAGTCAGTATTCTTCTGATGCCAGAAATCTGCCACAGGGACAAAGCAGTGGAGGTGGCCATGGCTGGGGGAGAGCCACGGGGCATAGTTCTGCATAATGGCCAGTAAGGATTTGGTCCCCCCCAGGGCTGGCCACCAGCGGCACACAGGCCAGGCCTCCTATCCGGTGCAGCCTTGGGTCCTGAAGGACACAGGCTGCCTGAGGCCTCCCTGTTGTATTCAACAGCACATTTATATCACCTCGGGGCCCTTACCCTGGCACCTACCCTGCAATGGCTCTGAGAAGTAGCGGCGGAGGCCATCGTGCAGTACGAAGTACACGGCCTTGGTGGAGAGGAACACGCAGGCAGTCACCTCCAGCCCGGGCGTCTGGTAGAACAGCACGGATGACCACAGCAGGTGCCTCAGCTCCTCGTTCTCTACCTGCACAGAGGGTGGGGCTTGCTGCTGCAGCCTGGCGGGCCACTGCTTCCCGGACACCACTTGTGCCAGCCCCAGCCCCCCCGGGGAGCAGCCCACACACAGCCTTGGATGGGGAGCCATGAGCAGTTCACTGCATCTGGTTACCAAGACCTTGAGGGAGAATGTGAGGAAGGGAAACGGCATGGATGTCTGCCCTGGGGCTGGAGGCCACACAGCAGGAAGCTCAGGCCTCTCTG